TGGAATATCTCAAAATCAGAAAACTTTTAATAAATTTATTATTTTTCAAGTGACAATTGTTTGCTTGTAAGTTTAAAGTATTTGTCAAACTGTTTGTCAAATAGGCACATGTTATACACACGAGTCTATGTTGTCTTTATCTGGATTGTGATTCTGCCCGTGGCCAGGCCGTGTTTGCCTACTTTGATACGGGTGAAAAGATCGATTCTGAGTGAGAAACAGCAAACATTCGGGTATATTGGTAAATTCCGAATATATACCACAAACTACCCATCCACATAGTTCTATATTCGCCAAATGGCAAACATTAATCCCTTGGGATTTGGCCAACACTGCATGTATAGAGGCACATTTTTGGTATTATGGCCGCTCGATAAATTCGGTGTTTGCCGAATGCTGAGCAAACATTTGATCAATACGGAGTAATATGGATGATTTACTCGTGAATAATAATCGGTATTCGCCGTTTCCCACTCCTTGTCGGAATTATTGTGCGGAATTAAAGGGGACGAATAGGCAATTATTCGGCAATCAGCGAATACGGAATGTGTGGATCAGTCTTTATAATTAGTCGAATACTTTATTGTAATATAATTTTGGAAAATATTAAAAATTCTAGAATTCCAATAGCAAAGTTGACACGCTGTTCGGACCAATCTTTGGTATAATCTATATTATCTTCACACTAACATCTTGATTAGATTGTATGATGAAGCATCATCATACATTCTAATCAAGCGAATTTTACCCATTTTAATTTGATTTTGCATTTCACTAATGTGTAAAAAAAGTATCATTCTAATATATAAACGAAAAAAAAAATACATTTCTTTCGTCAGTTTTCAAAAATCGATATAGCAATTGCACAAATACAAATGCAGTAGATAATAAACTATAAATATTGATTTAAAATTTGATCAATACATGTAGAGTTTGTAGAAAAATTTCTAAAAATTGCATGAAATAAGTTTTTGTAAATTGTCCTTATCCTTTTGATTTGTATTCGTAAAAAATTTAAAAAGCTTAATACATGTCATGTCATCAAGAGGAACCTTTATAGCGTGATGATGGAGATAAGTAAAGTGGTTATGTAAGACGATAATCGTTAAATGGATTGCAATAACTCTAAGCGTAAGTTTTTCGAGAAAAAACAAAGTAAATGCGAAATTTTGTAGAATTATTTATAAAAAGAAATAGCTCAGAAATCAAAAACTGGACAAGAAGAAGAAGTAAAAGAGTATACTCAGCGCAGAAAGGAGACGAAAGGAAGGTGAGATGAAAGGAGAGGAGAAAGGTCAATGGATCAAAAAGAACCGTAATTGTAAGAGAGATGACATTTGAGATTTATATTTTCGAAATTTCCCAACATAAATTAAGTGTTAGAAATGTGAACAAAACCCAAAAAACTCCATATTGCCAGCCCGTTGGTCAGTCGCAAACCCACGACTTCCGATCAGTGTTAAATGGTTTTATCCGCTGGATCACTGTAAGCGTTATTCGAATTCAGTTAATTATTTCGAAAGTTAATTAATTTAATCCAAAAAAATAAAAAAATCTAATTTGTAATCTATACTGTACTGAAACAATATTTCAGTACAGTACAATTTACAGTTTTGTTTTTATATAAAATTATAAATTGTACTATTGCTATATATATAATATTATATAGACTATTAGTTTATTGGTATACATTAGTGTTCATATAAGCAATTAATTAATTTATGCAATTCTAAAAACTTCAAGTTATAAGTATTTTTTAAAAAATATATTTATTATCTATAAAAATTTTTAAAATTCTGATATTAAATTTTAAGATTTTTACTTTTTACTAATAAATATATTTTAATTCATCGTATTTTGTTCAAAATTAAAAACATTATTTTAATATCTTAAGTGAAACTTTCTAATGCTTTTAAATTAATTTATTCTAAATTTCTGTTCTTTAAACTTTCGTTTCAATACAATGATGTTATTGCTAATAACAAAATGTATAGGCCTATACTGTTCAGTAAAATATAATAATGATTTTTAGACAACTCTTCTCCCTTATTTTTATATTGATAATGGAACATTTTCTTAGATTTAAATCAAAAGATTTAATCCAATAATATATTTTACAAAAGATAAAGTTAATTAACTGAAATAAACTGTCACTCACAAGGACTAGTTGTATCATTAGATAATGATTGATAACAAGATTCGAATTTTAGCTACTTTGTCCTTCTGATACAAGTAAATATTTATACATTTGGATATGAATTCAAATTAAATAATTCCTTTTTTGCTATAAAAGTATAATAAAAGTATAATAAAAAAATCAAAAAGATGCTAATAACATTTAACTAAACTTTTGTAACATACTTGTATATTCTATGATGATTGAATCCAAGAATAATAACTGAATAAGCTACATTTTAGAGAGATTTATTAGTGCATAGCGTATTCACTACTGTTTTTATTTCCGAATTATTTAACAGCCGAGTGGGTAAAACTACTCAACGTTGGTAGTTTGATCGTGATTTCACGCCTCACCAATGGGCATGTCACGTGGAATTTACAGGATTTCTTCACATGCCTAACAACTAACTAGATACCAGTTTCCGTACGTCCTCTCGGGAGGCATCCACCTTGGTAGATCAAACATTTGTTGTGTTGCCGTATTTCAAATCAAACCAAACCAAACAGAATTATTTACGAGTAAAGTGAAAAACTTTTCTGTAATTTACTAATTACAATCTTTTCATATAAATATATCAAATAGAATTTATTCCACATTTATCTCGTTTGCCATAACTCTCAGCAATTTCTTCATCTTTACATTATTTTCGATCATCACAAAACTGTACAAATCATTCTTAACTTTGAATATTCTTTTCATAATTTTGTATGTTTCTGATATTTTATTTTTAGATTAGCATTTTTTCTGTCAATACTATTTCTACGCAAAATATCCTCAATCGTAATATAAATTAATGGTAAATTGGTATAAAGCCTAACTAAACAAAATTGAATTGAAATATAGTTATATTTTATGCACCCAGGTAATGTACTGCACCTTAGTCTTGTAACCGTTGTCGTCATTTTTAGAACTATTCAGGTGTTTCGAATAACATTTAATGAAAATTTATTAGTGTTTTAAATGTCCTACAAATCAAATAATAATCATCTTAACAATATGAATATTTTCATAATAGAAACTAAAATAATAAATTTTTAATTATCTGAAAGCACTCAGCATAAAATATTAACAATTAAAACAATTTACCAAAATGGTAGATTATAATTCATTCAACTCACTGACATGTGTCCTTGTTCTGTACATTCAGCGACAGTGGATATAATAATAATGTCATGCCACCAAAACTAATATAAATAAATATAAATATATATATATATATATTTATTTATTTATTTATTTACTTATTTAACCATTTTAGAGTTTCGCTCCTCAAGTTTTTCCAATTGAAATTCACGTACAAATTCAATTGAAAAACTTTTTCGAATAACTCTTAATGTGTTGATAGTAGTTATACTAATAATTAATGTGATAGAAACTTAATTTCTATGCAATAATACATTATAAAACCTTACGGGTGTAATATTTATCCAACATTGATGACGATTACAACAACAGTGGTGGGTGCAGTACAGTACTTTTACTTTATTTTTCCATTTTTAATTCTTTATGACCTTAGGGCTCTAAGATGATCTTTTTTATGGTCTTGAGTTCGCGTGGGTTCAGATGGACGTTCTTCTGAATTGCTTGCTCGTATTTAATCCTGTGCCCACTAGTGGCCGAGTGCATAAAACCACTGAACATTGGTAGTTAGTCGGTCGTAAATTTGCGCCTCGCCAACATGGAGTTTTCCGAGTTTTCTTAACGTTAGTAACACCTAAATAGGGTTCAGTTTCCCTAAGTAAGTCCTCCCGGAAGGCATCCCCCTCGGCACCCGTCGCGTTATCATAAACCAAAATAATTTGTAAAAAAAATAAACGTTGTCATTACCAAAATAAACCTAAACTCGTGTTACATTCTAGGTCCCCAGGAAGATAGGCCTTAATGATG